GGTGGCAGCATCATGGTGTGGGGATCTTCTCAGCAGCAGCCTGGGACTTTAAAATGGTTCCTGTGTAACTTGACAGACTTTTGAGGTGAATTCTGTGTCCAGATGTTCAGGATCAACGCTGTGAGTGCAGCCAGTGGTGCATCTGCTACAGTTCTTTACTGAAGGGGATCAAATGTTATGCAGTCACTTATTTTAGGGTTTGTTTGGCTTTATTCTGTAGAAACCAGTTTTTACTTGAACTGTAAATTCTCTTCAACAGAAGCCAAATTGTTAATATTAATATTTCCCATGATTCAATGTTGAAAAGCAATAAAACAGGAAACTTCCCTGAGGGGTGAAAACTGCACTACAGGAGTTCATGTGTCTGTCTGTCGTCAAACATTAAAACTAATAAATCAGTCTAAACAGGAATAAATGATGACAAATATAACATAATACTGAAGTTAGTGAGACACACCAGTGATCATAATCACATGATCAAAACAACATGTAGGGGTTTTATCTGTCAAGTAAAGTCAATAAAACGTTGATTTAAATCAGGAATGACACAATAACGAGGTTGTGTGTGAGTCAAACAAGCTTAATCAGAACAGAGTCTTTTCAGAGTCGCAGCTCCACGTTAATCCAATAAACACAGACGTTTGTATGAAGATAGCGTGTACATAACAAACTATTACACATACCATGTCATGTCATGTATCATGTCACTCTCTCACGCACCTCGCAGATGTTTGTCTGGCGACAGTGGGCATAAGGGAACATCTGGATTGTGTTCAGAAGTGATGAGCTGGCGGCCGAATGGGCTCGCCATCACTTCTCCTGCGTCGGCGATCGGTTTGCGTCGGTTCGTCCCCCGTCTTCCTGTCCCGTGGCATCACATGGCATCACATCACATGTTACGTTTTTCTGTATTTTTTCCCTCCCAACCGTCTCAGATGTTCTGCCGGGAAACTCGAGCCCCTTTCAGACATGCGCCGCCTCCCGGCGATCTGAAAGCTGAATGAGCATCCCGGTCACTTTTCCGTAGAAGTCCGCATGAATTTCAATTAGTTTAAACTGCATCCAGTCGGGCAGCGGGTACAGGAATCAAAGGATGGCTTTCTTTCATATTATGGTATTTGTCTAAAAGCGTCACAGAGAGTCCTACTCATGAGTTCAGCTGAACACCAACGGAGGCAACTTCATTAGTTGTTTGTAATATGAATTATCCCCGACATGGTTGACAGGATTAGTCGGGGTCGAGGTCATTTTTTCACAGTGTAGTCTGTTGCTTCCAGCTGTTTAGAACTATAAGTTTATTGAATATGTCGCAGCATCCACATCCATCTCCAAAGAGAGACAGTTGCATCAAAGGATGACGCAGCAGCAGCAACGCCATTAATTAGTAATAATGACCGATTATCCCCGACATGGAGACAGGATGGGTCCAGTCGGGTTGTTACCGTATTAACAGACTTTACTGTGTTTATGAAGTAATAAACTGTCCTAACTGGTAACTGGCCACCTCATCAGTCAGTTATAATTTAATCAATACCTTTAACTCAGTGACGAGGCTTCTGTCAGTGTGGTCACTCGACATAACCGCTCCAATGGCCCTGATGATCAGCTATAGTTCAGCCGGTCGCTGGATGTTAGCGTCACAGGAAGACTTTCTCATGGTGGCACCTTACTGGCTAAACTCCCACAGCGCTCTTTGCTAGCCCGCATGCTGCTCGTCCAAGTGACCAAATCTGGTATTAACCTCTTAAGACCTGCCGGGTTACATTACCACAGGAGTTAATT